GCACGCAAACACGCACACCCGCACACCAGTCGCGCTACACCACGGGAGGGCAGCAAGCGATCCCCCTTCACCGCCGCGGCTCGAGAAAAAGACCGCATGGCGGCGCCGGCACAGCAGGCGGCACGCAGCAGACTCCGCCCGGTCGGCACAACCCGCTTCGCGTACGTCGCTCAGCATTCATTAGAACTGTTACCGTCAGCGAGTGAGAAAGTGTTTCGCTGACGGGGGCACCCGCCCCCGCGTCTTCACCGGTGCGAGTCGCCCCTCCTTCACAAGCGCTCGGTATGTGCACCGGCAGCACTTGGCCCGTCACAGCCTGCACGGTCCGCCGGTACACACCGGGCAGGCGGCATTCACCCAGCACAGCGCAGCGACCTCGCTCGGCTCCCGCGCCGCCACGCGTGTCCGCCAAACGCCCCGCCCCTCCCGCCCAACGAAGGACCACACACAGCTGAGAGTCAGCGGCGGCGCTCTCGCTCACCGCGTGGACGTGCGCCACCGCCATGCTCGCAGTGAAGGCACAAGGGGGTCATGGTGATCGCATCGTACTCGGTGCGCTACAGGCGCAGGCCAAGACACCAAACGCATTCGCACTCCCCTCCGTCGCGGCCACCACGCCACGACGCGCTGCGGCGGCCTCGCGCGAGAGGGCGTCCGGGTACGCCAGCGAAAAGGGACTGAACGGCCACCAGTGCGGCATGTGGCGTCACGTCTGCTCATCTGCGGGCGCTGAGCAACGCCGATGGTGGCCCTCCGTTCTCCCTCACTGCCGTAGCACCGACTTCCGCCAGCGTCAGCCGGACGTTTTGCACCAGGCATCAAATGCAGCAGGCACAAAGAGTAGCACCGCGCAACACACGAGGGGCGTCAACAAGAAGCCACGAGTCCCGTTGGCGGCTGCAAGCACCAGCGGCACAGCCTCCACGTCCAGCGGTGTCGCCGTCTTTCGATGCAGCAGCCACGCAGCACCAGCCGCCGTCAGTACCGCTCAGTCCTCTCCAGGTGCGTCAGCAGCAGAGAGGTGCGGAGTCGCACGAGGGAGCCGCCGGACGCACAGAAACATCGACAAGACATCGTTGCCCAGCACACTGCCCACACCGCCCCGCGAGTGCCCGGGGCCAAGCCCACCACGGAGCCCCGGACACGAAAGCCGTGCATCACCACTTTGCCAAAGGGCCGTTGGGCACTTCCTTCCTTCCACCTCCCCGCGCGCGGCTTCGACCACCCGATACACCCCACGCCCCGCAGAACAGCAAAGGACGGAAACCGGGAGCGCAATTCGGGTGCGGCGGAAGGAGGGGGCTGGGGGTGCACGGGAAACCGCAGAAGCATCGCGCAAACGCACCTTCGCGTCCTAAGGTGGGACGGTCCGCTTCATGTTACAGCGGAGAGAAGAGAGAAAGGAAGGAAGGAAGGAAAGAGAGGAGAGGAGAGTGAACGGCGCCATCATTCAAAACGCGAGCGCACCCGGCATCCAGCGCAGGGAAACCCGCCCAGCACACCATCATCCCTTCGAGCCTCGTCGCCACAAACGGCGCACCGTGGATGGTGCAGAGAGGGCAGCCAGCGGCACCCTCCATCCACACCACGCCGCACCGCGACACGCTCGTGATGCCGTCGCGGCTCCGACGGCACAGCACGGTCGAGGGACACAAGGCACAGGCGCAGCGGAGTGCGCCGACGGGCGTCGTGTCGGCAGTGAGAAATTCGGAAGGGAGAAGGAACCTACGTGTGGAACCATATAGAAATAGAAATAGAAATAAAAAGTCTCGAAAACAAGAGGGGGGCGGAGGGCCAACACACGCGCACGGGAAGCCAGCGCCCCAGCGCAGACGAGCAGCCGGTCGTGAGAGACGCAACGCTCGCTCCGCAAGCCGCGAAAATGAAGTCAAGCACAGGTGCACCGACGTGCCTGTGCGACGCGCATGAGAAGTCCTCGCCCACACCTCCGCCACACCGATAACCGGGCTGCCACGGCGGACACACCGCCCTGCCCAAGGACGGCTCCGTCGCCCACTCCGGCAAACAGGTGCCACGGTGCGGCGCAGTTCGAGACACAAGAAACAGAATCAGGAAACAAAGGAGTAAAGAAAACTTTGGCCAACGACCGTCGCACTCGCAGAAGCCAGTGCGGCTGCTCGCTTTAAAGAAAAAGAAAAGGTTGTGTGAGAAAATGCTATCTTCATTGTTGATTCAGCGCAGGTCGTGCGGCAGGCAGCGCCTCTGTGTCGTCAGCCATCGACGGCGCTCCAGCACGTGGAACAAGCGCAATGAGGCGTGCTTGCCTACGTGCACGGCTGCGCGCAGGGCAGCGTCGCTCAGCTCCCCAGCTTCGCATTCATTCTGCGAGGGCCCCTAAAGAAAAAGACGGGAGCAAAAGAGGTGCCCTACAGAAAAGAAAGGCGTCGGACGCCAAAAGAAAGTTTTGATGTGAGTTACGGGAATAGCGCCGTTCAAACTGGAAGAGCAGCCGCGACAGCACTTGCGTTGACTGATAAAGTTGAAACACAGCAGCATTAACGATGCCACTGGAGAAGGAAGAGGAGCACAAGGTGACGCCAGGCACCTCTCGCACACGGGTGAGTGTGCAGTGCAGGTTGAACCGGTCGCCGCCACGGAATGAGGTCTCCGCGTGTTTCACCCTCAACGTACTTCACTGCGCCGGACAGCTCCGCAATGGGGAGGTGCGCCGCGGGAAGTAGAAGGCACGGACGTACCAGTGCGAGAGAAAACACACAAGACCAGAAGCCTAAAGGGAAAGAAGGAGTTTGAATTACTAATGTTGAACAAAGCATGAAGACGAGACGCCGCGGTTGAAAAAAAAGAACAGAAAATAAAACAGGGAAGACGCATGTATGTAATCGCGTTGGTGTTATGCAAGCTGCGTGGAGTGCACTCTCCTATGCATGTGGCGGTTGTACTCAACGGCGCGCTCAGCAACGCCTCGCCGCACAGGCAGCAGAGTCACGGGAAACAGGACAATCACAAACACCGCAAAGGCAAGAGAGGCGGCACGCAGTGCAGATGGAAAAGAAAAAAGAAGGAATGAAAAAAAAAAGAAATAAAAAAACGCCGAACGGCTGAGCAGCGAGCAGCGGACGTCTGCACATGTGTGGGTGGGTGGGTTTGTCTCGCAGACGGGAAAGCAAGTAGCCAGGAAAAATACACCGAGTAGAGGAGAGTGAACTCTGTCGCTCTCTGCTCCCCGCACGGCGGCTTCCCTTGGCGGCTCCACACGCACACACGCAGAAACATCTCACAGACGCATATTCACAAGTGCCCACGTCAACCACGGCCCCAGCAACGCAGATTAACTCGTGCAACCACTCCATGGGCACACACCGTTCATCCATATCCACGCAGAGATGCCGGCGTCAATTGAAAGATAAAAGAAAACTACTTTTTAGCAAAAGAGAAAAAGCGGGCGGTCGCGTGAAGAGAGGCTGAAGAAAAACCGATGAATTGGCAAAGGCACTTAAACACACCACTTCACAGAGGAATAAATAGAAAAGGGCCAGCTCAGCTGAGCCTCATTAGAGAATCAAAATCGTTGTCATGTGTGTTCACCGTCTCCGCACTCTGCAGCACGTCGAGTTCAGCGGGAGGAACGGTGAGAAAACAAATCAAGTTAAAAGGGAGAGAGAGAGAACAAGTTAAAAAAAAAATTAACGCGGTCACGCGCATGCGCACCCCCCGCTGTTCCGCAGACGCGACAGCGGCAACGGTGGCGCCTCGCCAGCGACCTTTAATACGGCGAGTCAGGCATCTTTGCAAAAGGCTCCATCTCCGCTTCTTGCACGGTCTGGAATCCACTCACCTCTCTATCACGCTGACGCCGGCGATAGAAGCGCACGCCAAAGCCCACTGCAAGTCCCACCAAGAGCCCACCCACAGCACCCAGCACGCACCACAGTGGGATCAGGTTGCGTCCAGACTTCTTCTTCGGCGGGGCTGATGTGCTCGACACCGCGGGGCACGCATTCGCGCTCGCGCAGTCCCGCGCAGTCAACGCGGCATCCGCAGCCACCGTCTTCGACTTCCACCCCGCGGGCAGGCACCCGCACAGGCCCGTCCCCTTCAGGTCGACGCTCACCAGCTTCGTCATGCCGCCCCAACTATCAGGCACGCCACCGGACAGCGCGTTGCCGCTCACGTTCAGGCTGCGCAGCGACGTCATCTCGCTCCAGGCAGACGGCAGCGTGCCGGTGATGGCGTTGCTCTGCACGCGCACCGTCTGCAGACGCGCCAGGCGGCCCCAGCTCGCAGGCAGTGAGCCCGTCACGCGCGCACCCTTGCCGTGCAGCTCGAAACTCGTCACGTCCACAAGGCTGCCATCGATGTCCGCCGTCAGCTCCGGCAGCTGCACCGAGCCAGAGAGCGTGACGTCGTTCAGCGTGACGGATACAAGTCTGCTGGAACCGCACTTCACGTTCCACCAGCCGCAGTACCACACGCCACCCCAGAGGCTCCGCAGCTCCCCGCCCACAGCAGCCCGCACCAGCCGCAGGAACTTCAGCGTGTTCTGTTCGTTCGCCGTCAGCATCGCGATCTCCTCGGAGTCGTCCGCCGCGGAGGCCGAGCCGGAGCTGTGCGCCTCGCACACGTTTGCAGTGGTACAGTTAGCAGCGGACACCGCAGGATCAACAGTAATGGTCACATAAAAATTGTTCTTCAGCTTTGTAGGAATGCATCCGCACAGCCTGTTGCTGCTCAGCTCCAACGTATACAACCGCAGCTCGCCCCAACGCTCAGGGATCGAGCCGACCAGCTGGTTCTTGGACAGGTATAGATAGCCCAACGCCGGCATCGATGCCCACGCCTCAGGCAACGTGCCGGAGAGTGCACTGTTGTTGAGGTACAAAGTCTTCAGTGAGGGCATGCGAATCCACGCAGCAGGCAGCGCGCCGGACAGCGTGTTGTTGTCTAGCCGCAAGTCCTTCAATTCAGACAATAACCTCCACTGACCGGGAAGGCTGCCCTCAAGGCGGTTGCTGTTCAGGTACAGTGTCTCCAGCGCAGACATCCCGCTCCAGTCCGCAGGCAGCGGGCCATTCAGTGAGTTGCCGTTCAGCCGCAGAGTCTGGAGCTTCCTCAGGCGGCCCCAGCTCGTGGGCAGTGCGCCCGTCACGCTCGCACCCTTGCCGTGCAGCTCGAAACTCGTCACGTCCACAAGGCTGCCATCGATGTCCGCCGTCAGCTCCGGCAGCTGCACCGAGTCAGAGAGCGTGACGTCGTTCAGCGTGACGGACACCAACCCGTCAGACCCGCACTTCACGTTCTGCCAGCCGCAGTACCACACGCCACCCCAGAGGCTCCGCAGCTCCCCGCCCACAGCAGCCCGCACCAGCCGCAGGAACTTCAGCGTGTTCTGTTCGTTCGCCGTCAGCATCGCGATCTCCTCGGAGTCGTCCGCCGCGGAGGCCGAGCCGGAGCTGTGCGCCTCGCACACGTTTGCAGTGGTACAGTTAGCAGCAGACACCGCAGGATCAACAGTAATGGTCACATAAAACTTGTTCTTCAGCTTTGTAGGAACGCATCCGCACAGCCTGTTGCTGCTCAGCTCCAACGTATACAACCGCAGCTCGCCCCAACGCTCAGGGATCGAGCCGACCAGCTGGTTCTTGGACAGGTATAGATAGCCCAACGCCGGCATCGATGCCCACGCCTCAGGCAACGTGCCGGAGAGTGCACTGTTGTTGAGGTACAAAGTCTTCAGTGAGGGCATGCGAATCCACGCAGCAGGCAGCGCGCCGGACAGCGTGTTGTTGTCTAGCCGCAAGTCCTTCAATTCAGACAATAACCTCCACTGACCGGGAAGGCTGCCCTCAAGGCGGTTGCTGTTCAGGTACAGTGTCTCCAGCGCAGACATCCCGCTCCAGTCCGCAGGCAGCGGGCCATTCAGTGAGTTGCCGTTCAGCCGCAGAGTCTGGAGCTTCCTCAGGCGGCCCCAGCTCGTGGGCAGTGCGCCCGTCACGCTCGCACCCTTGCCGTGCAGCTCGAAACTCGTCACGTCCACAAGGCTGCCATCGATGTCCGCCGTCAGCTCCGGCAGCTGCACCGAGTCAGAGAGCGTGACGTCGTTCAGCGTGACGGACACCAACCCGTCAGACCCGCACTTCACGTTCTGCCAGCCGCAGTACCACACGCCACCCCAGAGGCTCCGCAGCTCCCCGCCCACAGCAGCCCGCACCAGCCGCAGGAACTTCAGCGTGTTCTGTTCGTTCGCCGTCAGCATCGCGATCTCCTCGGAGTCGTCCGCCGCGGAGGCCGAGCCGGAGCTGTGCGCCTCGCACACGTTTGCAGTGGTACAGTTAGCAGCAGACACCGCAGGATCAACAGTAATGGTCACATAAAACTTGTTCTTCAGCTTTGTAGGAACGCATCCGCACAGCCTGTTGCTGCTCAGCTCCAACGTATACAACCGCAGCTCGCCCCAACGCTCAGGGATCGAGCCGACCAGCTGGTTCTTGGACAGGTATAGATAGCCCAACGCCGGCATCGATGCCCACGCCTCAGGCAACGTGCCGGAGAGTGCACTGTTGTTGAGGTACAAAGTCTTCAGTGAGGGCATGCGAATCCACGCAGCAGGCAGCGCGCCGGACAGCGTGTTGTTGTCTAGCCGCAAGTCCTTCAATTCAGACAATAACCTCCACTGACCGGGAAGGCTGCCCTCAAGGCGGTTGCTGTTCAGGTACAGTGTCTCCAGCGCAGACATCCCGCTCCAGTCCGCAGGCAGCGGGCCATTCAGTGAGTTGCCGTTCAGCCGCAGAGTCTGGAGCTTCCTCAGGCGGCCCCAGCTCGCAGGCAGCGTCCCCGCGACCCGCGAGCCCTTACCGTACACGCTCAACTCCGTCACCGCAACCTGCTGCCCGTCCACGTCCGCCGCGAGCTCAGGCAGTCGCACGGTCGCCGTCGACGTTACAGTCTTCATCAACGCGGCGACCTTCGTCCGTGACACAGCTGTCGCCAGCGGCAGCGGTGACAGGTCCAGCTGCACCGCACCGTCCGCAGAGCACTTCACGTACGCCCAGTCGCAGTAGCTGCTCCCGGTCCACCGCATCGCCAGACTCGGGTCCATCGTCGAGAACGCCTGCAGGAACTTCAAGGTGTTTCGCTGCTCCTGCGTCGGCGCAGCGGTGGTCGTCGTGGTCGTGTTGTGCACGTCGCACGCGTTCTTATCGCTGCAGTTGGACGAAGACACCGCGGCATCCACGGTAATGTCAATGTTGTAAGTTTTCTTCGACCAACCATCGGGGAGGCATCCGCACAGATGGTTCCTGCTCAGATCAGCAATGATGTACGTCCACTGGGCCGCCCATTGTGCAGGGATCGAGCCTGTAAATTGATTTGCTGCGAGGTATAGGGACCGCAGGTACTCCACGGAGGCCCAGTCTGCAGGCAGCGAGCCAGAGAGGGCGTTGCTCGAAAGGTTGAGTGTACTTAAGCCGGACATCGTCTTCCACTCTGCCGGTAGTGTGCCGGTCAACGCATTGCTCGAAAGCCGAAACCAGCGAAGCTTCGACAGGAACCCCCACTGGCCAGGAAGGCTGCCCTCAAGGCGGTTGCTGCTCAGGTCCAGTGACTGCAGCGCAGCCATCCCGCTCCAGTCCGCAGGCAGTGAGCCTGTCAGTGCGTTGCCGCTCAAGTCCAGCATCCGCAGGCGGGTCAGGCGGCCCCAGCTCGCGGGCAGTTTGCCCGTGACATTCTGGCCAAACTCATTCACGGAGATCTCATTGAAGATGACGGCGGAGCCGTTCACGTCGGCACCCAGCTCAGGCAGCTCCAACGATCCGGTGAACACCGGGGAGTTGAGGGCGCCAAAGTTAAGCACATTCGAGTAGGTGCCGCACCGCACGTACGGCCATTCACAGTAGTAGATGCCGGTCCACCTGCTCGCAAGAAACGGGGTTTTGGCCGCAAAGCCACGCAGGAACTTCAGCGTGCTCTTCTCCTCCTCCGTCATCCCCGCCATGCTGTCAGAGCTGCCGCTGCCGTCGACACACCTGTATGCGGTGCGGCACTTCGGCGATGTCACCGCGTCATCGGCTCGGACGTACGGAGGATATCCCGGCTTCCAGGCGCTCGGCACGCACCCGCAGAAGTCGTTGCCCGCCAGGTAGATGTCCTGCAGTGACTTCATGTTGTTCCATTCTTCAGGAATCGCACCGGCCAGCGAGTTGTTGTTCAGCCGCAACTCGTTCAAGGTCGGCATCGCGGCCCATTCGACGGGCAGCGTGCCCGAGAGCGCATTCGCGGCCAGGTTGAGAGTGTAAAGCTTCGTCATGGCGCTCCAGTTCGCAGGCAGTGACCCGTTCAGTGCGTTGCCGCTCAAGTCCAGCGTCCGCAGGCGGGTCAGGCGGCCCCAGCTCGTGGGCAGTGCGCCCGTCACGCTCGCACCCTTGCCGTGCAGCTCGAAACTCGTCACGTCCACAAGGCTGCCATCGATGTCCGACGTCAGCTCCGGCAGCTGCACCGAGCCAGAGAGCGTGACGTCGTTCAGCGTGACGGATGCAAGTCCGCTGGAACCGCACTTCACGTTCTGCCAGCCGCAGTACCACACGCCACCCCAGAGGCTCCGCAGCTCCCCGCCCACAGCAGCCCGCACCAGCCGCAGGAACTTCAGCGTGTTCTGTTCGTTCGCCGTCAGCATCGCGATCTCCTCGGAGTCGTCCGCCGCGGAGGCCGAGCCGGAGCTGTGCGCCTCGCACACGTTTGCAGTGGTACAGTTAGCAGCGGACACCGCAGGATCAACAGTGGGGGGATAAGAACCGTTCTTCAGTTTGGTAGGAACGCATCCGCACAGCCTGTTGCTGCTCAGCTCCAACGTATACACCCGCAGCTCGCCCCACCGCTCAGGGATCGAGCCCGTTAGCTGGTTATTGGACAGATCCAGAGACCAAAGCGCCGTTAACGCCACCCACGCCGCAGGCAACGTGCCGGAGAGCGCATTGCTGTTGAGGTACAAATCCTTCAGTGAGGACATGCGAATCCACGCAGCAGGCAGCGCGCCGGACAGCGAGTTGTTGTCGAGCCGCAAGTCCTTCAATTCAGACAATAACCTCCACTGACCGGGAAGGCTGCCCTCAAGGCGGTTGCTGTTCAGGTACAGTGACTGCAGCGCAGACATCCCGCTCCAGTCCGCAGGCAGCGGGCCATTCAGTGAGTTGTAGTTCAACCGCAGAGTCCGCAGCTTCCTCAGGCGGCCCCAGCTCGTGGGCAGCGTGCCTGTAACCTGTTGCCCAAACCAACTCGCAGAGATTTCCGTGAAGATCACGGCGGAGCCATTCACGTCCGCACCCAGCTCAGGCAACACCAGCGATCCCGTGAACGCCGGCCGGCTGTAGGCCTTGAAACTCAGCGTGCTCGCTAAATAGCCGCATCTCACGTACGGCCACGAGCAGAAGTCCGTGCCGGTCCAGCTGGTCTCCAGAGTTGAGCCCGCTATCGCAAAGCCCTTCAGGAACGCCAGCGTGTTCTTCTGCTGATCGGCGGTGTAGTCGGTGGTGGAGGCCGCGGAGACAAAGAGGGCGTTCACGCACAGCACCAGCAGCGCACCGGCCACCATCATGCGACGCAGCGGGTACTTGAGACACGCCATAGGTCGCAGTCAGAGAGGTGAGGGAGGAGGTACGGAAGAGGAAGGAAGAGGTCGCGGTGAAGAGCTTCGTACAGCTTGACAGAAACGAGAAAGTCGGTCGTCGCACGTGGGGCTTGCGCTTGTGGAGTGTGCCGCAGTGACGAATGCTGCTGAAACAGCTGATGTATTAAAATTAAACAGAAAAGAGAAAGTGTGTGTTTAGCGAAAAGAGATTATGAAGAGAGGCGTAGTGAAAGAGAAGGCCTTCAAGCTGCGGCGGTCGGCGCCGCGGTGGAGCAGTGCAGGAAGAAAGGGAGGGGAAAAGAGAAGAAGCGCATGGAGCGGCGAGCAAGGCAGCGGACGAGAGAACATTTGTGGCGGCGTGCGTCGGCGTGCACGCAGCAGGCAACGCCGCAGGGCTGCACCACAACCACGCACCCCATCGTGCGCACGCAAACACGCACACCCGCACACCAGTCGCGCTACACCACGGGAGGGCAGCAAGCGATCCCCCTTCACCGCCGCGGCTCGAGAAAAAGACCGCATGGCGGCGCCGGCACAGCAGGCGGCACGCAGCAGACTCCGCCCGGTCGGCACAACCCGCTTCGCGTACGTCGCTCAGCATTCATTAGAACTGTTACCGTCAGCGAGTGAGAAAGTGTTTCGCTGACGGGGGCACCCGCCCCCGCGTCTTCACCGGTGCGAGTCGCCCCTCCTTCACAAGCGCTCGGTATGTGCACCGGCAGCACTTGGCCCGTCACAGCCTGCACGGTCCGCCGGTACACACCGGGCAGGCGGCATTCACCCAGCACAGCGCAGCGACCTCGCTCGGCTCCCGCGCCGCCACGCGTGTCCGCCAAACGCCCCGCCCCTCCCGCCCAACGAAGGACCACACACAGCTGAGAGTCAGCGGCGGCGCTCTCGCTCACCGCGTGGACGTGCGCCACCGCCATGCTCGCAGTGAAGGCACAAGGGGGTCATGGTGATCGCATCGTACTCGGTGCGCTACAGGCGCAGGCCAAGACACCAAACGCATTCGCACTCCCCTCCGTCGCGGCCACCACGCCACGACGCGCTGCGGCGGCCTCGCGCGAGAGGGCGTCCGGGTACGCCAGCGAAAAGGGACTGAACGGCCACCAGTGCGGCATGTGGCGTCACGTCTGCTCATCTGCGGGCGCTGAGCAACGCCGATGGTGGCCCTCCGTTCTCCCTCACTGCCGTAGCACCGACTTCCGCCAGCGTCAGCCGGACGTTTTGCACCAGGCATCAAATGCAGCAGGCACAAAGAGTAGCACCGCGCAACACACGAGGGGCGTCAACAAGAAGCCACGAGTCCCGTTGGCGGCTGCAAGCACCAGCGGCACAGCCTCCACGTCCAGCGGTGTCGCCGTCTTTCGATGCAGCAGCCACGCAGCACCAGCCGCCGTCAGTACCGCTCAGTCCTCTCCAGGTGCGTCAGCAGCAGAGAGGTGCGGAGTCGCACGAGGGAGCCGCCGGACGCACAGAAACATCGACAAGACATCGTTGCCCAGCACACTGCCCACACCGCCCCGCGAGTGCCCGGGGCCAAGCCCACCACGGAGCCCCGGACACGAAAGCCGTGCATCACCACTTTGCCAAAGGGCCGTTGGGCACTTCCTTCCTTCCACCTCCCCGCGCGCGGCTTCGACCACCCGATACACCCCACGCCCCGCAGAACAGCAAAGGACGGAAACCGGGAGCGCAATTCGGGTGCGGCGGAAGGAGGGGGCTGGGGGTGCACGGGAAACCGCAGAAGCATCGCGCAAACGCACCTTCGCGTCCTAAGGTGGGACGGTCCGCTTCATGTTACAGCGGAGAGAAGAGAGAAAGGAAGGAAGGAAGGAAAGAGAGGAGAGGAGAGTGAACGGCGCCATCATTCAAAACGCGAGCGCACCCGGCATCCAGCGCAGGGAAACCCGCCCAGCACACCATCATCCCTTCGAGCCTCGTCGCCACAAACGGCGCACCGTGGATGGTGCAGAGAGGGCAGCCAGCGGCACCCTCCATCCACACCACGCCGCACCGCGACACGCTCGTGATGCCGTCGCGGCTCCGACGGCACAGCACGGTCGAGGGACACAAGGCACAGGCGCAGCGGAGTGCGCCGACGGGCGTCGTGTCGGCAGTGAGAAATTCGGAAGGGAGAAGGAACCTACGTGTGGAACCATATAGAAATAGAAATAGAAATAAAAAGTCTCGAAAACAAGAGGGGGGCGGAGGGCCAACACACGCGCACGGGAAGCCAGCGCCCCAGCGCAGACGAGCAGCCGGTCGTGAGAGACGCAACGCTCGCTCCGCAAGCCGCGAAAATGAAGTCAAGCACAGGTGCACCGACGTGCCTGTGCGACGCGCATGAGAAGTCCTCGCCCACACCTCCGCCACACCGATAACCGGGCTGCCACGGCGGACACACCGCCCTGCCCAAGGACGGCTCCGTCGCCCACTCCGGCAAACAGGTGCCACGGTGCGGCGCAGTTCGAGACACAAGAAACAGAATCAGGAAACAAAGGAGTAAAGAAAACTTTGGCCAACGACCGTCGCACTCGCAGAAGCCAGTGCGGCTGCTCGCTTTAAAGAAAAAGAAAAGGTTGTGTGAGAAAATGCTATCTTCATTGTTGATTCAGCGCAGGTCGTGCGGCAGGCAGCGCCTCTGTGTCGTCAGCCATCGACGGCGCTCCAGCACGTGGAACAAGCGCAATGAGGCGTGCTTGCCTACGTGCACGGCTGCGCGCAGGGCAGCGTCGCTCAGCTCCCCAGCTTCGCATTCATTCTGCGAGGGCCCCTAAAGAAAAAGACGGGAGCAAAAGAGGTGCCCTACAGAAAAGAAAGGCGTCGGACGCCAAAAGAAAGTTTTGATGTGAGTTACGGGAATAGCGCCGTTCAAACTGGAAGAGCAGCCGCGACAGCACTTGCGTTGACTGATAAAGTTGAAACACAGCAGCATTAACGATGCCACTGGAGAAGGAAGAGGAGCACAAGGTGACGCCAGGCACCTCTCGCACACGGGTGAGTGTGCAGTGCAGGTTGAACCGGTCGCCGCCACGGAATGAGGTCTCCGCGTGTTTCACCCTCAACGTACTTCACTGCGCCGGACAGCTCCGCAATGGGGAGGTGCGCCGCGGGAAGTAGAAGGCACGGACGTACCAGTGCGAGAGAAAACACACAAGACCAGAAGCCTAAAGGGAAAGAAGGAGTTTGAATTACTAATGTTGAACAAAGCATGAAGACGAGACGCCGCGGTTGAAAAAAAAGAACAGAAAATAAAACAGGGAAGACGCATGTATGTAATCGCGTTGGTGTTATGCAAGCTGCGTGGAGTGCACTCTCCTATGCATGTGGCGGTTGTACTCAACGGCGCGCTCAGCAACGCCTCGCCGCACAGGCAGCAGAGTCACGGGAAACAGGACAATCACAAACACCGCAAAGGCAAGAGAGGCGGCACGCAGTGCAGATGGAAAAGAAAAAAGAAGGAATGAAAAAAAAAAGAAATAAAAAAACGCCGAACGGCTGAGCAGCGAGCAGCGGACGTCTGCACATGTGTGGGTGGGTGGGTTTGTCTCGCAGACGGGAAAGCAAGTAGCCAGGAAAAATACACCGAGTAGAGGAGAGTGAACTCTGTCGCTCTCTGCTCCCCGCACGGCGGCTTCCCTTGGCGGCTCCACACGCACACACGCAGAAACATCTCACAGACGCATATTCACAAGTGCCCACGTCAACCACGGCCCCAGCAACGCAGATTAACTCGTGCAACCACTCCATGGGCACACACCGTTCATCCATATCCACGCAGAGATGCCGGCGTCAATTGAAAGATAAAAGAAAACTACTTTTTAGCAAAAGAGAAAAAGCGGGCGGTCGCGTGAAGAGAGGCTGAAGAAAAACCGATGAATTGGCAAAGGCACTTAAACACACCACTTCACAGAGGAATAAATAGAAAAGGGCCAGCTCAGCTGAGCCTCATTAGAGAATCAAAATCGTTGTCATGTGTGTTCACCGTCTCCGCACTCTGCAGCACGTCGAGTTCAGCGGGAGGAACGGTGAGAAAACAAATCAAGTTAAAAGGGAGAGAGAGAGAACAAGTTAAAAAAAAAATTAACGCGGTCACGCGCATGCGCACCCCCCGCTGTTCCGCAGACGCGACAGCGGCAACGGTGGCGCCTCGCCAGCGACCTTTAATACGGCGAGTCAGGCATCTTTGCAAAAGGCTCCATCTCCGCTTCTTGCACGGTCTGGAATCCACTCACCTCTCTATCACGCTGACGCCGGCGATAGAAGCGCACGCCAAAGCCCACTGCAAGTCCCACCAAGAGCCCACCCACAGCACCCAGCACGCACCACAGTGGGATCAGGTTGCGTCCAGACTTCTTCTTCGGCGGGGCTGATGTGCTCGACACCGCGGGGCACGCATTCGCGCTCGCGCAGTCCCGCGCAGTCAACGCGGCATCCGCAGCCACCGTCTTCGACTTCCACCCCGCGGGCAGGCACCCGCACAGGCCCGTCCCCTTCAGGTCGACGCTCACCAGCTTCGTCATGCCGCCCCAACTATCAGGCACGCCACCGGACAGCGCGTTGCCGCTCACGTTCAGGCTGCGCAGCGACGTCATCTCGCTCCAGGCAGACGGCAGCGTGCCGGTGATGGCGTTGCTCTGCACGCGCACCGTCTGCAGACGCGCCAGGCGGCCCCAGCTCGCAGGCAGCGTCCCCGCGACCCGCGAGCCCTTACCGTACACGCTCAACTCCGTCACCGCAACCTGCTGCCCGTCCACGTCCGCCGCGAGCTCAGGCAGTCGCACGGTCGCCGTCGACGTTACAGTCTTCATCAACGCGGCGACCTTCGTCCGTGACACAGCTGTCGCCAGCGGCAGCGGTGACAGGTCCAGCTGCACCGCACCGTCCGCAGAGCACTTCACGTACGCCCAGTCGCAGTAGCTGCTCCCGGTCCACCGCATCGCCAGACTCGGGTCCATCGTCGAGAACGCCTGCAGGAACTTCAAGGTGTTTCGCTGCTCCTGCGTCGGCGCAGCGGTGGTCGTCGTGGTCGTGTTGTGCACGTCGCACGCGTTCTTATCGCTGCAGTTGGACGAAGACACCGCGGCATCCACGGTAATGTCAATGTTGTAAGTTTTCTTCGACCAACCATCGGGGAGGCATCCGCACAGATGGTTCCTGCTCAGATCAGCAATGATGTACGTCCACTGGGCCGCCCATTGTGCAGGGATCGAGCCTGTAAATTGATTTGCTGCGAGGTATAG